TATATATATATATATCTATGAACTGAATTACTGACCATGAAATGGGGCCTGCAGGTTTTGCTGCATTTACTTCGTGCTGGATATTTTTTGTATAAAGAGGAAATGGGTAGTTTCAATGGAAACATGGACTCTGTACTAAAGTGTCCAATACGAACAATCTACTTTGAGACCTCTAGTGCGTTTCCTGAAATTAATTCATTCACTTATGAGACAGCTGCTAGGTAGTAATTCTCTTTCCCATATTATTTAGTGTTTTAATTCCAATTAATGTTTTAATTCTCTTGGAGTGATTTTACTCATGATATAGCTATCTCTGTTTGTTTGTATTTCTTGCTTTATCTTTATCTATATATCTATATTTGATGTTTCAGTTATTTTTGACAGTTATGATTTACAACTGGATATTATTCGCCTTGATTTTAAGTCTGGTCTAGAGACTTTGCTTAAGGAAAAACCTACAAAAGCTATTTTCCTGGGAACCCGAATTGGCGATCCAAATGCTGTATGTTATTCTCTCTTTTTACCATATTACATACATTAGGAGGCTGATACTTATAATGGGAGATGTATTTTTTTAGAGTTATATTCACATGCTTGTATTATAATTTATGAAACTTGCTGTACCTGCAGATTGGTCAAGAACAGTTTTCTCCAAGTTCAACTGGATGGCCTCCTTTTATGAGGGTGAATCCCATCCTTGATTGGTCATACAGGTTTTTCATTGGTTATTATCCTTTTTTTTAAGCTAGTTTTTTTTTTCTGATTTTATTAGTGCACCGTATGATGTATTCTCTTTCTCTCCTTTCTCTGCAGGGATGTGTGGGCTTTCATCCTAACATGCAAGGTTCCATATTGCAGTCTATACGATAAAGGGTAAAATGTTCTATTTTATGTTCTATTATTGAAAGGATTAGTTATAAGTGATATGTAAATTTATAACATAACATAAAAGTATAAAACAACATATGCATAGATAACCTCACTTACGTATTTTGAAATCAAGTAAGACTGAATAATTTAATAAGTTTAGATTTTCTATACATTATTTGTGAAACAAGTAATAGTTTCTATGATGTTTTTCTTTATTCATTATTTACAAATAAAGAAAAGAAAATTAATCTTTATGTCAAATGGTTCCATATAGTAACCATATTGTCATGTTTTTTGTTAAATAATTTATTATTATAATATAAATTGTTTCATTATTTATCTTTAATATTATTGTAAAATTAAATAT